ATGGGGAGGGGTACGCGGAAGCACGTAGGACGACATCGAGGGACTGGTGAGCTTGCGTTGACGACAGCCACCTCACCGGGGTTCTTATACTTACTTGCAGGCGTGTGTTCAGATTTTCAGTCAGAGATTGAATGAGGACGCTTTGCGGGAGACGAGGTGGTTGCAGACGTCGGCGAGAGTTCAAGCTAAGTTTGTGATTGTTCGAAGTACGGTTCGAACTGCTTCGAGTGTCAGCGTCTACCACTTCTTTGTACTGTGAACTTCAATCGTACACAGCCACCACGAGGGCTCTACTGCTTCCGTTAGCTTCCGTTGAAGTTTGAACTCATGGATCATGTCGCATGATTCGATTTTCGATGGCCGGTGAGGTCTGCCCACCTCCATGTAGTAGCTGAACTGTGTTTCATATGCGCGATGTGGGCATGATACCTAATCATATTTGTCGCGCGGCGACGCTTGTCCTACTAACACAACTGGTTAACAAGTAATCGATACGAGGGACGGGGATCGAGAGGTAGAGAAAGATGAACACAGTGCACCGCACAAGAGGAGGAGGAGTATTTCAGCTGGGAGGAATGCATGGCAAGGACTCGGACAACGAGACAGAGGGACATGTCAACAGCTCATCTGCTTCCCGTGCTTCTCTGCACATCGCCGGATATGACGCACGCACGCCGACTCCCGCCACTCGTTCTGCAGACCGCACAGCGGGCAGCGGTACGCGACCTTGATGTGCACATTCAGCAGGTGCCGCCCGACGCTCTCGATCGACATTGCCCCGGTACTGGCACCGTACGTGTGCTTGTTACCATGGTCGCCGGCGCACGACTCGGGGAGCGGGCAGCGCGCCTTGCACGTCCCGGCGACGAGGCCGCGACAGCCCCGGGTGAGACAAAGCTCGTCGTGGTGGAACCGCTTGAAGTGGCCACGCCACGCGGAGTCCTTCGCTTCGAGAGGGGCGCCGCACCCCGGCAGCGGGCAGCGAGGGGACGTGGTGGACCCGACGCGGATGGGCTGGAGGGAGTCGGGAAGGGGGCGCTGTACGACCCTCTTCCGAGTCGCAGGACGCTTCGAGGGGCGGTGAGGAACGTAGTCGGAGGAGTCAGAGGCAGTGTCGGCGTCCGCCTCGTAGTCCGAGTCGTCCGTCTTGCGCTTAAGCGGCCGCGCAGTGCTGAAGCTGGCGTACAACACCCGTTAGTGAGTGATTCATGATCATGACACGGAAATGAACTGACCTATCGGAAGTGTGGAAACTCGCGCAATCAGCGTCAGCGAGCTGACTGGCCGCACGGCTCGGAGAGCTCGTAGCCGAGGCGGGCGAGTCTTGGTCGTCCACTTGAGACGCCAACCACGCGTCCAGCTCGTCTGCAAACAGGGGAGGCGAACTGCTGCCTGGATAGACCTCTGGCAATGTGGGCCCCTCAGCGGAGTAATCGTCGGCGGGAAGGTAGAAGTCGGCAGGGAGATAGAAGTCGGCAGGAAGGTGCACGTCGATACCAGGCTCATCGAGAGTCTGGAACGCGTCGATGCAGAATTGAGCGCGGGGGAACTGGTCTTGGAGGAAAGAGTCGTAGTCGAAGTGCTTATTGTAGTCGAAGAAAGTCGACGGCATCTCCTTGGGAGAGTCGTGCACAAGTGGTGCATTGACCAGGCTAGCGACATGTCAGTAAAAAGCACAGTGGCCGAGTATGAAGAATCGATATGCTCACATAATCGGGTCGTACAAGACTTCGCAGGTCAGGGGGGCGTAGAAGGACATCGCGAGACGCGTATTGATGTGTGGCTAGGGGGTACGGGGTAATGCGTGGTCTCGCTGAACAGCTATTGCTGGGCAGGTCAAAGCGGGGGATATTTCGAGCAGGTCGAATGAGGACCTTGGGGCCCATCGTGGCCAGCATTTTATCCTCCTCTGGTCCAACAAAACGTACGCTGGTCGGGGGCGTCTGCAAAGCGACACTGGCTTTAATGACCTGCCGTGAAAGCGACCCGGAGGCGTGTATTTCCTTTTTTGGGTGCCGGCAAAGCGACCGCAAAGCGACCCAGGGGGCTAGCACGTCGATGGGCGCGATAACGCTTTGCAGAAGCCCTGTTTATGAGCGCGCAAAGCGACGGGCGGCGATGTCGCTTTGCAGACGCCCGAAGAAGAGGACACGCGTCATCCTCGCCCGTTTCCTTGTCTCGTCCGGAGCTCCGATTGGCGTATGGAGTGTGGCCCTGTGCAGCTAGTCAGCAAGTTCGGTCGGTACGTGAAGGGAGGAAGAGCGGTAAACTGCCAGAGAGGCTGAGGTGGACGTTTCCGAGGGGTTCACACCCCGCAACTCCGCGATCCAGGCATCAAGATCGCGACCTCGCCAGATGCTCGTCCAGTCGTCAGTCTTCCCAGCAGTCGTCCACCGAGCTCTCACAGGCGTATATACGAGAGGAGCTTCGCCGGGCAATGGATGTGGTTAATCAGGAAGCGATTGGTATTGAACTTGAACGTTGAACGCGTTGCTGTCAGTTCTCGGCAACGGCCGATCGATAGCTTCCCGCCTCTTGCAGCCCAACTTGCAAGTTGCAACCCATGTCTCACCTCATACCATCATCAGACGATGTTCACCCAGTCTCATTTCTGTATGTATGTGACTTGTGGCTTCGACAGTATGAGCGATAGCTCGGTTTTCTCTCCTCAGATGAAGCAGGAGAAGGCCCGGCGCCGGCTGGGAGTATGGAGGTGCGTACTGCGACAGGAAGTCCGAGGGTTATGATGGGCCGATGACTGAATGATGCTTGCAGCCTCTGTGTCAGGGCATCAGGTTTAGGGCGGGACGCTCCGAGTACTTTGCAGAACGGAATCTCGGAGACTCCTCACGTCACGATGCTGACAGAAGTGACGGGCGCCTCCACGTTTGATGACTTTCCGAGTCTCTCTGCTGGATGTACCATCCTCACCGTCATTTCAGCGCGACGTAGGCATCGCCTGAGGCTCTCTGACAAGTATGGCACGCTCTCCGGACAAGAGGAAGCCTCACATGTATGCCCAGAGCCTGGAAGAGTGAGTTCACGCACCGCTACATAGAAATGTTTGCATATTGACGTGGCATTAGCAGGACGAACCACCACACGAACGGCTCTTCGGAACTGGATATGTGAGTGTTTCCCGCAACCATATTATATCCGCGCCTAACGAGCCCTCTCCAGCCCGTTGGGTCAAGACTCCGCACCTCGTTCCACAGGCGCTCGCAAGTTCTCTCCCAAGAATGGGAAATACGCAGCAGCACCGTGGTCGACGCGGTCGCGAGGATTCTGGAACGACATCAAGTCATTTCGATGGATCGTAGCACCGAGTAGGTTCATGTCGCACCGCTCCTCCTGGATTTGACACTCACAGGAGCAAAGGTTCATCTCTCAAGATACTCCTAATAGTCGGCCTATTTTGGGCCAGCTGGGAGGTAGTCGCTCCGTACGTGTCCTTGGACCTACCGAACCCATTCGCACCTCTCCTCTTCATATCGCACCACATACCGACGTCCTCGCCGGATGATCCGCGCTACCAAAAAGGATACCTCGACCTGGTCTTCATCGCCTTCCACATCGTCTTCTGGTCCTTTGTCCGGCAGACGATTCTCGTCTACCTCTTGACCCCTATGGCACGTCACTTCCGGGTAAAGAAGGCCAAGCTGGTTCGATTCGGCGAGCAAGGATATGCCATGCTCTACTTCGCCGTGATGGCAGTCTGGGGAGTGGTAAGTCTGCGGTTCGTTCGTCCATATCCTTTCTCATCTCTCTTCGTAGCGCATCATGTCTCAACTGCCAACGTGGTGGTACGACACGAAGTACTTCTGGATTGGTAGGTGTTCGTTGCGCTTAATCCAGCATTGTCATCTTACTAACTTTTCACAGACTATCCTCACTGGGAGATGAAGCCCGAACTCAAGCGATACTACCTCATGCAGGCCTCATACTGGTGCCATCAGCTCATCATTCTCCTCCTCAAACTCGAGAAGCCTCGCAAAGACTTCAACGAGCTCGTAGCGCACCACTTCGTGACGCTCTGGCTTGTCGGGTGAGCCCTCATATACCCACCATAAGGTACAAGCCCTGACGTTGAAGCAAACAGATGGAGTTATCTCGTCAACCTGACTCTCATCGGCCAAGCAGTCTACCTGAGCATGGATCTTCCCGACACATTCCTTGCGGTACGTACGCGAGCTTCGTCCCGGTTGAGATCATGCTGACGGTCCTGCAGCTCTCGATGCTCTTGAATTATCTCCGCTGGGATAGGGTCAAGATCTCCGTCTTTGCCGTCTTTATCAGCATCTGGAGGTCGAGATGACACAGTCCAGTCTCATTGCTCGCTCTTGCTAACGTAAATTCCATACAGCTACTTCCGGCACTGGCTCAACTGGGTCATCCTCTACTCCGTGCTCTTTGAATTCGATCTGATGCCGTGCGTAGCAGCTTCCTCCTCCCTACTGTGCAGCGCTGACGTCTGATGCAGCGAGTCGTCAAAACGCTGGTCGCCCGAAGATGGCGTGTGGATGGTATGGTGGATGAAGTACCAGGTCTTCGTGCCGCTCCTCGCTTTGCAAGGACTCAATCTGTTCTGGTACTTCTTGATCTGGCGCCTGGCGTACCGGTACGTCTGTTCATTTGCTTCAGCGCTGTATGCAGCCAGTCTCTCACGCGGACCGCGCTTTAGTGCCGTCAAAGATATCACGGTCACCGACGACCGTTCCGATGTTGAAGATGACGACGAGGATGATGCCGAGGCAAAGGACGACTAGGGACGAGTTCTTATACAGGGCCCGCCATACGTGCTCGCACATCGCCCAGGGCGTTCGAGGCGGGGCGATTGCCTTCCTACATAGTCATGACTTATGGCTACACCGAAGACTTACGGCCTCATATGGCGCTGCTTTTGTAAATGTCTCCGGTCGAAGCAATGCAGCACCTACAGTACCGAACCCCTTCAGAGAGCGTGATGGCATTGTGTAAAACCGGAGTAATATTCTTTCATCGCCCGCCTAGCTCAATCGGATAGAGCGTCAGACTCTTATCGCCGATGTAGAGATGCGTGGTGATCTGAAGGCTGCGAGTTCGACCCTCGCGGTGGGCTAGATACCTTTTGTCACCCGGCGGTGAAGCGAACATTTTTGGCCGGCGTTGGTCACGTGATCAGTTGACCGCATTAACGAAGGATCTTCCCCTCGTACGCGTAACGTACTCATACATGCACCCACAGCTCATACATGTCAATTCACGCGTATCAAGCCCTCTGAACATCTTCAAGTTCAGGTAATATTGCCTGGCAGGCAAACCGCATTAGGCAATTCAGACGCCCAAATGCCTCAGAGCCGCTCGTGCACAGCCTGACTCGGAGGTTGTTCTCATCCCACCATCAGCGTTTCCGTCATTGCTATCGTACGTCCTTGTATGTGACGGTATGACACTCACGGCTTTGCCTCGCGAGCTTGTCAGCATGATTCTCGTGAACCTGGACTTTCGTCGGACGGTTCTCCTTTGTCAGGTGGAACCTGACACAAATCTTCAGGGGGATTCATTGACACATATATCACGCTAGATGTAGTCTGCATCATTGTTGCCGTCCTGCATCCAGTCACTTCAGTGCGGGCGTATGGCCTGTGCGCGGGGCCATTTGACAATCTTGGCGGCGTTGGAAGCTAGCTGGATAGGCTCCGAACCATCTCCCTGTAGCCACATAGAGTCATCAGCGGACGTCGCCTGATGTTCGAATAAAGCTGTGAGATACCCACAATTATAGAGTAGGGAAACCCGTAATTGAACGGGAGAACACTGTCGATGTGGTGTATGTGCTCCTCGGTCAAAGTGACGTTCAGTGCCTCGAGATTCGCATAGAGCTGTTCTGGTTTGCGTCCGCCGATGAGCGGGAAGACGTATGGGGCCTTCTGCATCACATAGGCGATTGCCACTGCAGAGACGAAGGCGTGATTAGTTACGAGAAGAGTAGGTGACAACAAATGAACCGACCAGCTTGGATATTCTTCGCGCCGACTTGCTCGGCGATCTTCTCGAGCTCTTTGGTCATCTTGCGTTCATTCTCGTTACGCTCCCAATCTTGCCAAACGGTACGGCCTACAGGTAGTGATGTCAATACAGGACACTCGAGATGTCGCCGATCTGGCTTGCCTTTTTCTCCAGTCTGGCGGCGTCGTTCCTCTTCTTCGTCAGTGCGTATCTTTCCACCAGCAAGGACACCCCATGATGCGAACGCGAGACCTGAGTTTGAGTCAATTGTTTAGCGTTTTGACATGAGATACGCAAGAGATCTCACCTTCCGCTCTGCACATGGGGATGATGTCGCGTTCAACATCACGCTGCATGACACTCCATGTGCCCTGATAGATAGAGAAAGGGGTCTTCCCGGTCATCCGAGCATATAGGTTAGCCTTGGGGATTATCCAGGCAGGACAGTCCGAGATTCCCTGGACATGATGAGCAAGGGATGGAAGAGAAGTACCATGGCATGCTCACCAGATACAAGACTTTCCCCGCAGCGACCAGGTTGTTTAAGCCATTCATAATTTCCTCGATTGATGTATCCCAGTTCCACTGTCGCGCACAGAGTCAGAGTAACTCTCGAGAGTCAACTATGTGGCCTACCCAATGCACATACAAGATGTCGACATAGTGCGTGCGGAGCTTCTTGAGCGAAGCCTCCAGCGATAGCGTCATGGCCTTCACGCTGTTCCCGGCGTAGTGCACTTTCTGCTGGATATCCGTGGCCGATCTCTTCTAATTTCCGGTGTACTGCGGGCTTTCCGTTGAGCTTCCAGTGGCATCGTATCGAAGGGTGTCGTACAAGGACGTACATACCTTGGTAGCGATGACCATCTGGTCGCGTATCCCGCGCTGGTCCATCCACTCTCCGATAAACTCTTCGGAGGTCTCGTCCTGGTAGCAGTTTGCGGTGTCGATGAAGTTGCCGCCTGCGTCGTAGTACGCGTCGAGCAGCGCGAAGCTCGACTCCTTGTCCATCGCACCCATGCCATAGGCGGCCCATTTGTCACCAATGCTCATGGCCCCTAGGCAGAGCGGGGAGACGTAGACACCGGAGAGCGGAGAGAGCTGACGGTAATGGCCAAGGGCAGTCTTGGCGGGAGGGGCTGTCGGCCAAAGGTCCATGATGTACGAGGTGCTGCTAGCGTCATCAGTGAGGAGGGACTGATGGCCTTTATACATCTCGTCTGTCTGTACCTCTACCTACGGTGTATCAGAGCGGGAAGTGCCCTGCAGGCGTCGTCGCGTCTTCTGAACGACTCAGCTCGTCGGGTCAGCGGCCTATCGCCGAGTAGACATGAGGACATTCATATTTGGTGTCTGTTGGCGCTTCAGTTGAAGCTCCTTGGTGCATGCACTTATTCCAGGGAACAGGGCTAAGCTCGTCGGGTCAGCGGCTCGTCGCCGAGTGCAGCTGGTGAAAAATGCGCACACGAAGTCCGATCGCACGTTGCCAGTTGACCTCGATAACCCCAAATAGCGACACATCTGCTCGCATGGGGGTGTCAGTGCCAGTAGAAGCCCTCTTTCGTTTGCAAAAGCTTCGGCCACTTACTAATCGTTTGACTCTTGAGGCGCTCATGCCGTGTCGATAGCCCGGTCGGAACAGAAGAGTCACTCTGCAGCGTCCGTGGTACCGAGTATCTCAATCGCACCATGAAAGGGAAGGGAAGGAGCGTACTCAGTCACTATCTGGAGCTTCACGAGCTGTGCGAAGATATCTCCGAAATCAGCGAGACTGCAGCCCACGTCACCAGACCTTACGGCACTTCTCCCTAAGACTTTCGAGTTTAGCGCGAGCTTGCTGAAGTTGCAAATCGTCGCGGCGCCGCCAGGTCACAACAACTTCGTCACAGCCACCCGGCAAGTCGCGAGCTCGAAGTATGTAGCCTTCTCGCTGTCAGAGAGCTCGGAGAGTGTCGATAGCGTATTGTGAGAATTATGAAGGGCTTGTGATACTGTACAAGGAGGTGACGTTGCAATACTGAAATTACTAGTTCTTTCCGATGGGCTGCGGACGAGGCCACCGGACGAAGTTGGCGGCGTTCTTCATGAGCGGGATGTAGTCGGATCCGTCGCCCTGTATCACACAGGTGAGCCTTCTGCGTGATGCGTCCGAGTGAGGAAGAGGTACTCACGCAGAAGGTGTGCGGGAACCCGGGGTCGAAGGGCAGCGCGTCCTCCAAGAACTTCACCTGCTCCTGGGTGAGACTCACGCTCAGCGCCTCGATATTTGCCTCGAGCTGCTCGACCTTGCGGCCGCCGACAATGGGGAAGACGTGCGTCGTCTTCTGCATCACGTAGGCGATAGCCACTGTTAATCGCACAGACAGGTCAGTGCGACACGCTACACGCCAGACCCCGGCCGCACTCACCAGCTTGAATGCTCTTGACGCCGACCTGTTTCGCTACCTCCTCCAGGGCCTTGCACACCTTGCGCTCGTTCTCTGTCCTCTCCCAGTTCGGCCCGAACCACTGACGACCTGTGCGATCGGATGAATTGGTAAGCACTGGTGACTTCACCAAAGATCGAATTCGCGAACATACCCTTTTCTCCTGTCTGCCGGCGGCGCTCTTCCTCCTCGTCCGTCCGGATCTTACCGCCAGCCAAGACGTTCCATGGTGCAAGTGCCATTCCTGTAAAGAGGTTAGATGCATGATACCTCCCAGAGATGACCGCGGGACTGACCCTCAGACCTGGCCATAGAGATGATGTCGCGCTCGAAGTCGCGCTGGAGGATGCTCCATGCACCCTGATAGATGACGAAGGGCGTCTTTCCCTGGCAGCGAGCGTACTGGTTCGCCTTCGCGACGATCCAGGCTGGCGTGTCGGAGATGCCCTGTCACCAGGTCAGCATGCAGCTGTTTAAACGCAAGTAATGGCGCTCACCAAGTACAACACCTTGCCGGCAGTAACGAGGTTGTGCAGGCCGTTCATGACCTCCTCGACGCCGGTGTCCCAGTCCCACTACACGCACCGTAAGTCTAGATGACGGCAGAAAGGAATAGGGGAAACTTACCCAGTGCACGTAGAGGATATCGATGTAGCTGGTCCGCAACTTCTTGAGCGAGTCCTCCACCGAGACGTGCATAGCCTTCACATTGTTGCCAGTGTAGTGCACCTTCTGCGCGATGTCATCACGCCCGTGCTTGTAGTTCGTCGTGTACTGTGCACACATATCTCAGCAAATCCGTCTAACGCAGCGGGTATCTCGATACGACTAACCTTGGTGGCGATGACCATCTGATCACGAATACCGCGCTTCTCCATCCACTCCCCGATGAAAAGCTCGGACGACTCGTCCTGGTAGTTGTTCGCGGTGTCGATGAAGTTCCCGCCGGCGTCGTAGAACGCGTCGAGGAGCTTGAAGCTCGTCTCCTTGTTCATCGCGCCCATGCCGATCTTCTCCCATTTGTCCCCAATGCTCATCGCCCCGAGGGCGAGCGGCGAGACGTGCACGCCCGCAAGGGGCGATAGCTGGCGGTAGTAGCCGAGCTTGGTCGGAGGGGCGGGGGCAGGCGACCACAGAGATCCCATGGTGTATGTTCGTAGTGAGTTGTCGAAGGATGGGGTGCGGTCGTTCGTTCCTGCGCTCTCGAGAGTGGGATGCGAGGCGGATAACGGGCACCACCGTTCTTATATCTGTCTGCAGTCTTCTGACAAACGCTCTCCGGGCGGGGGCGTCGTGTAATTCCCGACCGCACTTCGAGGAGACGGTTTTGACCATTCTGGGACGTCCTACGCGACCCCTGACGTACCTCTGCTGGGTGAAAGCTTTAGGAGGCAATGACGCGGCCGATGATGGCACGCCATGTTTGTCACCGTCCACGACAAAGTCCTTTGCCTTGCGATTTGAAGACGAATACCATTCCTGAGGCTTATGGAAACCTGCGCGGTGGCCTGGCCTCCTGCCCGAACGTGTCCGACTACTTAGTCACAACCTCTCGCAACATATCTTCATGGAAAGCAGTCGAAACGCCGGCTGCCGGGTAATGGATGTTAGGGGACGGGGACTGGAAACGATCGCATGCCGATCTGACCATTACTTAGCGACGCACCTGCGAGAGTCTGCGACC